ATCTCATATATTGGTTAGGTTTAATTTAATTGTTATTTTCCTTTTATTATTTTTTTAGTTAAATTTTCTTCCCATTTGGTTGTTCAAATAAATTTAGATTAATTATTTTGGTACTTAGTTAGACACAATCATCGTGGGTTCGACACTCTATTCATCATTATATTACTTGGAGCGACTAGTACACTTGTTAGGATGATTTTAGTGCATCAAGTTTTTGGCGCCGTTGCCGAGGATTGTTGATTTAATTAATATTGAAGTTGGTTAATTCTAGATTTAATTTGAACGTTTTCTTTTCTTTGATTTCTTTACTTTGATTTTTTTTTTTTTCGTTTCTTTTGTTTTTGTTTTTGTAGGTCTAACTATGGATCGAGTTGTCTTAAACATTGATGTGGATTATCAATGGCTTGCGCCGGAGATGAGGGCACAAGTTGAAGCAGTAATTATCTTGCTAGCATAAATTGATGATGATGAACTTGAACGATTTCAAGCAGTCATTGAAAGGATCAAATTAAAAAAGGCTATAGTAGAACGATTAAATATCACTTGTCAATGGTGTGGATGTGACCATTTTAGTTCTGATTGCTATTTTAAACGATCTAACAAGTGTGTTGATTTTTCTGGTGATTTTTATAGTCAGCAGTATAATTCTTATCCCAATACATGCCATTTTGATCCAAACACCTCATGGAATAATGAAGTTATATTGGAGCCACAATCAGGGTTTCAAGCTCTAGAAGAGGAGACATGTTTGAATAAAAATCTGGAGGTCCAATCAACTCATTTGCTCAACTTAGTTGCTGAAGAGATACAAGGTGAGTTACCTAGTGCAACAATGAAAAGTCAAGAAGAAGAGGTAAACACTTTACCCTTGGAGATTGGAGAACAGCTTGGAGAAGTAGAAATTATGCCTGCAGAAACTAAACAAGAGGATGTCCCTAAGGAGGAAGAGGAAAAAGCTCAGGTGTCATTTGAAGTGTTCAATGGGGAGTCTCCTTTAACCAAATCTGATTTTAATGATTATTTTGTTATTGATATGGTTGATGAGATTTTGCAGAAAAACACTTATGAGGATTCATTTGAGACCTACCTTATTCAAGCAAAAGACTCAATCAAAGAATACATAAATTGCTTGAACACATCATCTTCCTTGAAATCAAAGGGGGCACTTCTAGAAGAATTGGGAAGGCACATCTTTTGGCCTAAACCCAAACCACCTCAAAATAGTTATTGGAAAAAATCTTATGGTGGATTCAACTTAAGGGCAAGAAAGCCAAGATTTAAGAAACCGAGAGGACATGCCCTACGACCTGATCCAAAACCACCTTGGAGTGGTAGAAAGTCTAGCTAATGACTATAAATTCAGCGCTTCTTGGGAGGCAACCCAAGCATAAAATTTGCTTTTCTTTTATTTTTCTTTTATAGTTCAGATTTTTTTTTAAATTTTTTTCCTTTTTCTCTTTATGGCCTAGGTTAATGCATAAATTATTGTTCTTTGATTTTGGCCAGGTCATTGAACAAGTTTGGGGAACAAGATTATGGAAATTCACATGCTAGAAGTCTCCTCTAAACGAAGACAACTCAACTTCAAAACTTCAATTTTAAGTCTTCAAGTGCAAAACCTAGGAAGTTTCTCTTTTCTCTTACTTTTATTTTACATTGAGGACAATGTTTGATTTAAGTTTGGGGGAGAGATA